TTGGAGTTTTTTTGGGCAGCTTTGCTGACACTTTGGTTTGGAAAGCACAAGTTGTGCTCAGCCTTGGAAATACCAATTGTTCTTTGCAAAGTCAAATCTTTTTTTCGCAGTGACATTGCTCTGACCTTGTTATCAGCCTTGCCATGAATAGTGTGATCCCTAATTAGTCCATCTGTCAGCTGTCCAGGCTCACGTGATGGTACAGGAGCATTGCTGGCAGATTGGAAACCAGCTGAAAGCACAAAGAATGATAAATGAGAAATGTCAGGATTTGGACACTGGTAGCCATCTCTTGTTGGCATCAGATCTGGGTTTAGCATTGTTAAAGGCCTGAAGGAAGGGCTAAAGGACATCCTAATGAAACTCCCATATCACTCACTTGCTCCAGCCTTGGGATTCAGTGGGTTTGTGTAGACTGGGAGTTGGGCCCTGGCCCTAAGAGTAAGGCTTTTGAGAAAGGGTTTAATGAATCAGGCCCCACCTGTAACTGTGTGAGCACAGCAGACCCCAAGTTAGTGGCTTCACTGCATCCTCTGAAGAACTGTGCATTGCTGAGCAGGAACAGAGTGGGGGTGGCTCTACTGGTGGCCTTCTGCTGTACCAGGGAGAGACTGAGCAGGGGTTGTTGGTGCCTGCCAGGATCTCCCAGCAGCTGCTGCCTTTCACTGCTCATTTTGTGCCACAAGTCTTCGCTGACTAACTTCTAATCCTGATCCAGTGTGCGTGTCGATGGGATCACAGGAGTTTGCAACCACTGGGAAAGGGGGAGTGTGGAGCCTGCAAGCAGCCCTGTGGCAAGGTAGGTGTGCATGTGGGAGCCTCACAAATCCAGCCCTCAGTGCTGGGTGGGGTGGGAAATGATTCATGCACCTGTAGGTTTGCTAGGACCAGATGTGGCTGAAGGTGACCTTGGGAGCAAAGGAGTAGGGTGAAAGACTGGCTGGGAACAGGGCACTCCTGAACAGAGGCACCATGGCTTTAAAACCAAAAGTTGCATTTCCCTGCCTTTTCCTAAATCTGCTCCAGCAGAGCATTGTTGGCATAAGAGGAAAAACCCCAATGGTGAGCTCTTCTGCAAATCCTGTCCCAAATGTTTCAGCTTGTCATGCCTCTAATTCATTTGCAGGAAGCTTGGACTTAGGCTAAAATAAAATTTATTTTCATGCTCATCTGCTCTGCTATCAGAGAATCTCAAAGCTCTGCTTGGCCTGAGGGCTTTTTCCTGGAAACAAGGCTGCCTTGCAGGAATAAGGAGTTAATATCCAAGAACTTTGAGCCAAAAATCCACTGCACAGTTCTCCTTGACCTCTTTGGGGCAGGCCCTGTGTGATATAATCCTTGTATTGATGACAGTGACAGACCACTTGAGGGAAAACTGCTTCTAGGAGGGGCTGCTTTGCAAATGCATCTTAATAGGGGGGGAAAAATCACCAAGGAATAGTGGAAATGTGTTTGGTGGCAGAGTGGTACCGTGGTGGTGCCATATCACCTGCAGTTTTATGATGACTAAAAACAGTCCTGCCAATTTTAGTTTTTTGGAGTGTTCTGAATGTTTTTATGCTGAGTGAGCATCTCTCAAAACCATGTCTTGTGCCTGAATTTAGGCACCCAGGAAATGTGTTGGAATTTGCATTTCCAGGCTCCTGCTATGCTGTTAGAAAGAACTAGGAGCAATTCCCAGCGAGTATGTGCAGCCTCTCCTGGGGAGTGCCGTGGGCTGCTCAACAAAAGCCTTTTTTTACCATTTCTCAAGTGGTGTTTCAGTTTGTCTTACACCACTGCAGCATCATCCAGTGCTGTGCACTGTGTTGCCCAATGCTGGCAAGTCCTCAGGCAACTGCTGCTCCACCTGTGAGGGAGACAGGGCTTTAAACTGGTTATAGACTTTTAAATCTTACCTTCCTTGGTGCTGCTAGGGCATGTGATGTTAGAATCATGGAATTGGTGAGGTTGGAAAGGACCTCAAAGCCCAAACATCTATGCAGCCACCCCCGTGTACACCTCAGAACCATGTCCCCAAATGCCACATCCACATGTATTTTTCAACACTTCCAGGGATAGACACTGGCACTGACTTCAAGGGGGTAGATATTCTGCCCTGTCAGGTTTGATCCCCTTGTATTTCACAGCCAAGCCAGGAGTGTTCATGAGCAGAAGCTGCATTTTGTGGTGCTGCTGTGTGGACCTGTCATTTTGGCCAGGAAACCAGTGAAATATGAATGATAAGTGTGGCCATTTCTTCTCATTCCCCCATTGTGTTAGGGCTGCAGAGAGCCCCCAGCACCCCCCGACTGACCCTGTGCAGCAGCTCCTCCACAGCAGTTTGCTCTGTTCATGGATCCCTGCCATGCTGCTGCCTGTGGCACTCACAGCTGCCAGCCCTGGCACATTGGACCAGTAAGGACATGTCCTGCAAGAATGTTCCAGCACTCTGGCAGATCATTCACTTGTGGGCTTTATTCTGTCTTGCATCACTTGCCTCAGTTTTTATGTCTCATAGAGGTAACTGGGCACACTTGGGAAGCACAAATGCATTCATTGCTACTGAAATAAAAACTCTTCTATTTGAAAGAGCATCCCCAAGGAAAGGTCTGTTGGTGAGTTCTGGCTCTGTGGGGTGAGTCTTCCTGCCCTGCAGGCTGCAGCCCCTGCAGGGTGATGTGAGCTGCAGTACGGGGGATGAATCATGGCTCTAATCATTTGCATTGGATAAAATCACAGTTCAGAGCTCCCCTGAGAGCTTCTTCAGCTCCATGGGCACAGAAACAGATGCTGCTTTTCTTCTCAGTGATCTGAACCACCCCTCAGTGGGTTTGCCCTTCAGCCCAGAAGAGCCCTAGTTGTTCAACCAGAGGAATAAACCAACTGTGGATGTATTAGGAGAGGGAAGAATTTGGCCTTTCCCTCCTTTCCCCCTCTGGCTATTGGCACAGTGGGACATGTTCCTGCTCTGGTCACTTTGTCCACAGCCTCCTGTGCCATCTGCAGGAATTATTAAGTACAGGAATTAAAAAGCAGAAGAGTATAATTATTTAATAAAGTCCTCATCCTTTCTTCTGGAATGGGAATGCTATGGTGTTTGGGGAGTTGAATGCAGGTGCTCTGAGAGCCAACTGACATTGAGTTATTCTGATTTTACAGTGATGATCTTGAACAAATTATCCTTTGGGTACTTCCCAAGGGGAATGTTTGTTGACTCAGTTCACAAAGGAAGTAAGGATGTGCATTTGCTTGGGAAAATTATTATCCAAATCATAGTGCTCTTTTGAAACAGTTGTTTGACTGAATACCAAAAAGAAGCAATCAGACACTTGCCTTAGAAGACCTTGGCAAGGCAGTGAATGGTGAAATTATAAATTTCTTCTCTCTTTACCCCCTCAGAGCAGAATTATCTATATTTGGATTTCTTTTTTCAGCCCCAGAGAGGAAGTGAATGAAGTTTGCAAATCGTGTTTGGACCAAATGCAGTGAATCTGGCTGTGCCTCCTATGCGGAGCTGAAGTAGAACAGTGTCCCAAGGAGCAGTGCTTGTTCTCAACTCCCAGACCCAAATGAGGTCTCTCTCCTTCCTAAGGATATTTGGTAGAGAAATAAACAGGGAATATAGAGCTGGAAGGTTAGACATTTAGGTTTCTTCCCATTGCTATTAAAACTATATCAGGGAAGCATTTTAGGTTAATTTTAGCTCCAGCTTCACTCCCACCATTGGAATGTCCAATCTATTTAGGCTGAAGGTATGTGGGGCAGGGACTGTTCTGGATCTGTTGCCATTCCCACCTTTGCAGTGCTTCCTCACCAATCCAGAGAAGCTGTTTCCCTTCACCAGGTACCACATCTCTCTCTTTCTCTCAGTGCTTTCAGCAACCCTTGGATCAAAACTCCTCTGCTGCCATCTCCACTCTGGTCCTGGGTGGAGTTTGACAAGGACTCCTTCAAGATGGTTTTCATTTTTGAGGCCTGAAGTTAGTTTGTGGCTGAAAGAAATGCCATGTACAGGAATGTTTTTGGATGTCTTTTGTGGAATATGCCGAGAACAATGATGTTTTCCATTGCTTGCCAAGTGCTTCAAGGATGGTCTTGGTGTTAGCAGACACCTGAGGGGCACCAGAGCTTTTCCAGCTGACCAGAGCCCATCAGACAAATCCATATTTCAGATTTATGCTGATCCTTTTGTACAATGAGCAGTTCCCTGTGCTGTCATTGCTTTCCACTGTACCTGCCTCTTCTCTTTCCTCTCATCTTTGGCTGTTCTTTTTAGGCACCACTAGCTTGGGAAATTCAATGATTAGTTGAATAATGAGTATTTAAGCCACACTAGTGCTCTGAAATCTTGTGAAATCTGACCCATTCTCAGGGGACATGGTGTGTTTCATGGAAACCAGTCAGTGAGCACCCCAGGACTTGATTTCCTGGAGGAAAGGGAAGATGCAGGAAGCCAAGCAGTTGGATCAGTTGCTGAGAGGCATGCTGTGGCAGTGGATGCTTTCTTCCCAGGCATTCCCTGTGAACCCAGGGAAGTCAGACTGGCCTGGCAAGTGGCCTAACTCTGCTGCTGATGACACCTCTCCAGGAGAAGCGGTGTGTGGGCAGACAGGGAGTTTCATCATGGGGAGGAGGAGGCATGCATCACCTTTTGTTTAAGCAGAAGCATCTTTTTGGAATGCTATCCATTTTATCGGTGAGGGCTTGGACAGGGAGCATCCAGGAGAGGCTGGATATTGTAATTAACACAAGTGGAGGCAGGCTGCTGCATCTGCCCGCCCGCCCAGAGAGGAAGAACCTGTTGAATTTGCTAGGAGCTATTGCTGTGAGGACAAGAGCCACAGTTCCTGGGAGTACAGCAGCCACAAGTGGATGGAGTAGCTGCTTCAGAGCTATGCTGTGGGGAAGAGGCAGAGGCCTGGATTTTGGACACTGGATGCCCTTTTGGGTTAGAGCCTCCACTTTTGCCTCCTAAGCGCGGGGAGGAGGAAAACGCAGCCCCCTCGCTCTCGGTCGGGATGGCTGCACTCTCCCAGCACCTCAGGATCCTGCTCTGGAAGAACTGGCTGAGTGTCAAGAGGCAGCTGGTGAGTGTGGGAACAGAGGAGTGCAGGAGGGGGATCCTGGAAACAGCAGGAGCTGAGGAGCAAGGGGGGGCACTGCAGAGAGGGAGATTGTGCTGTTAGAATGGGAGGGTGGTGGTAGAAGCAGAAGAAAGGAAGGGAATGGCACAGGAGTGAAGGTGGGCCTTGTGTGAAGCTCAGGAGTCCAGACTGAGCACCATGGATGCCTCTCTTGTTCCCTTGGGACAATGTCTGTGCAAACAAAACCGCGCACAGACTCGTGGGCAGACCTGAGTTGGGGCTGCAGTTCTGTACCTGCTGCCATGTGAGCAGACCCTGTGCCTGGTTCACAGCCTCTGAGGAGCCCCTGGGATTTGGGGATGATGGGGCTGCCCTTACACAGAGCCATTTGTAAAGGATGCATAACAAAAGAAGTAGCTCTGAGAGATGCATGTAGGACAGATTTCCAGTGCAGTCCAGTGTGCTGCAAATCAAACACCCCAATGGTCTTTCTGTCTGAAAGATAAACTATTGCCAGCAATATCCAGAGAGGGATCTGAGCTGCAGCAGCATCGGGGAGCAAATGTTCCTTTGGGAGGCATTGCATGGTCAGGCAGAGTAGTTTTGTCCCAGTCCAGTTTTGGTCCAGCTGTGTGTGGTATTTTCAGCAGAAGCCAGGGCACTTTAGGGGGCTGCACCATAACCTGTGCTCCAGAAACCCACATGTGGTGGAATGGAAACCTTGGCAGGCACAGGAAGTGCTGGCCAAAGAGAGATGTCCATGGAGGGCGTGATGTGAGGGTGAAGTGAAAGGCCTTGTAGGACTGTGTGCTTCTGCAAGGTCTGTTCCAGCTTGCCCTGCCTATCTCCTGGTTGTGGAGCCTGATTCAGGGAGATGCTGAGTGCCTCTGACTCCTGTGGATATGCTGTGTGCCTCAGAGCCTTTTGCACTGCTGCCAAATTCACTTTTCCTGAGATGCAGAAGAATTCCCATAAATTACCTCTAATTTCTCGAGAGAAATTGTAACAGCCTCGTTAAAAGCGGAAGGCTTGGGTCCCTTTTAGCTCTTGTGTACCCTGAGTAAATGCCACCTAAGCCCTGCCTGTGCTTCTGACCACAGTCTGACTTGCTGTAATTCTGGTTTCCTGTGGAGTTGAAATATCAACTCTGTAGAACTGAAATGTCAATTAAAATAAAAATCTGGCCACTGCTGACTATTTTGTGGCAGGCATGCCTTGCAACCCTCCTTAATTTCCCACTCTTGCTCCAAATTAGGGAGCTTGCTCAGTCTGAGGAGGGTGTGAGGAGGTAAACTCAGATCTTTTTGGGAGCAAAGTTGGGCCTGAGTGCCAAAGGGAACTGGAGATATTGGTGCCTCCTGTGTCTTGCACTTCATTATTTAAACAGAGGCAGGAAGGGGAGAGAAAATGTGCACTCGCCCAGAGATCCTAAGTAAGCTCCCAGAGATTAAATCAACTTTTAGCAGTGAAATAATCCAGCAACTAAGAGATTATGCAATTTACACCACAGTTCTTAGTGTCCCAAGAGCCAGATTGAGGTTGGTTGTGGTTCCATTAGAGTCAACATGTTCCACCTGCAAACAGTTTGGCCAGGGTGCTTGTCTTGTTTTTGTTTATTAGAAAAGCCTGGGACAGTGGGAATGCTGTGATGTTGCAACTGATGTGCCCAGCTACTATTAAACCCAATTAAGTCACAGGACAGAGATACTGAGAGAAGACATGTCTGGAAAGTGGGGAGTGTAAGCTCAAAATGGGGAGGGACAATGATTTTCCTGAGTAGGAGCAATCAGTATTCATTTATTGTCCCAGGAATGTGACAGATGTCCAGCCCTTCCTTTAGGCAGCTTCTGACTAATATCAGTTTCTGTGCTGTTACCCCATAATTTTACTTTAGCCTGTGTGGTGCTAAACAAGGAGGACACATTAATAATACCATTTGCGTGAGAATTAATCACAGTTAAACTGCCTGTTTGGGGACTGATTATAGGGAAAGCATCTGATATAAAAAATTACTAAAATATGTCCGTGCCAGTGATGGATCTTGTTACAGGTTGGCAGTGTATACATAAAAAGTAGGAAGGGTACTGTCTGTCTAAGCTAAAATGTGACTGAATGCTAAAATTATAGGAGCACCTCTAAAGGGGTGTGTGGGGAGGTGCCTTGTGGTTTGATGTCTGTCACTTACCTATTTTGGGGCATGAATTTGCTGCTACTTTCAAGCCTGAGTCATCTCATCAGGGACGATGGGATGGAGTTGCTGTAGAACAGCCATCTTTAAGCTGAGTTCTCTCCAGGATTTCTTTGTCTGTTTGGCTTTATGTTCCAGTGAGTGTTACAGGAAATGAAAACACGGTTATGGGATTGGAATTACTTTGGAAAAACAGCTTTGGGTAATATGTGCTGATCTGAAAAAAAACCAGCAACACAACGATGAAAAACGGGATTTTTTTGAAGAAAGACATCTTTGCAGTTCCAAAAATTGGCATGAAGGTAGAACAGCAATTTTGTAGCACAAAGGAGTTTCAGTTTAACTACTGATAGTTGGAAAACTCTTAATTTAGTAAACATGGGACCCAGCTCACCATCTAGTGCAAAAGCAAGGGATTATTTGAATAATTACAATTTCCTAGCTCACAAAACACCAAGGCTTGCATTTTAAGATTTTGGGCATCGTCCCTACATTGGTTTACTACACTAGATGATTCATTCTAGTGTTTTCTTAATTCTTGTCCATTGAAAGGGGCAACCCTCATGTCAGAGGCAAGAGTTCTATATATGTTCATGTGTTTTCCAACACATTAGGGCAATATTACATTATTTCTCTTCCACTTTAAGTGGAATTTCTTCTTATATGGAAGAAATTCTTCTGTGTGAGGGTGGTAAGGCCTTGGCACAGGTTGCCCAGAGAAGCTGTGGCTGCCCCAGCCCTGGCAGTGTCCAGTGGCAAGTTGGATGGTTTGGGGCACCCTGGGATAGTGGAAGGTGTCCCTGCCCATGGCAGGGAGTGGGACTGTATCAGCTGTAAAGTCCCTTTAACCAAAACCATTCTGGGAATCATCTCAGCTCATGTGTATGGACTGCTTCAGTCTGGAGATGGAAGAGTGCCAGGGATTTGGGCTGCTGGGATCAGAAGTTCTTATAAGGGTGTTTTCTCGATGATGGGTGTTCAGATGTGCATTCTGTAGGCTGGTTGCACAACTCCATAAACCCTTTCCTCTACCACGCTTGAGCTCTACATCTTGTGAATGACCACTGTGAAAATCCTTTCTTCCAGCTCTACCATGAGAATCCACTGGTTTTGAAAAACAGCTAAATCTTTTTGGGAAAACTGCTGTAGGCTTGCAAAACGCTTTAATTTTGGGGTATAGGTCAATTGAAGTCCTATTTACCCATCATTTCACTGAAAGTGAAACCAAGCTCTCACACTGCAGCTGCTTTATCTTCTGGCTGGTGCTACCCAGCGTGCCTTTACTGTGACAGAGCAGTGTCTCAAAGCTGGGTAAACACAGTCCTCCATAATTACCAGCCAAACTGAAACCTTGTGCTGCTTTCAGCCTTGTTATTTGCTCTTAAGATCTTCGGTAGTTTTTCTTCCTGAATAGATAATGCTTGGATTTTAATTGTATGCATGCCAAGACAGGTGTGATTTACAATGCACCTCCTAACTCACTTAGGGCACTGCTTGTGCATTGCAGCCAGGCTCTGGGTAACATCAATGCCACAAACATAACCGATATATTTTCATTGCTGTTTTATAGGTATGGTCGTTTGTTTTAATTTCCTGGCCTGTGGTTGTTTTCATAATCTTGGCCATTATCCGTCTCAAATTCCCTCCAGAACCACAGCAAAACTGTAAGTAACTGGTTTGTTTTTATGTCTGTGGGGTTTAGTTCTCATTTCAGTGACTGATGTGTTCATTTGATGTGTTTTGTTACTTTTACAAATTTGGCTCCATGTAGTTTCCAGTGGAGATTTCCTGGGATGCATCATGCTGTAAATAAAATGTGTGTGCTCCTCTGAGGTTGTTTTTGCTCATGGTTTTTTTTTTTCCAAATTAGCTTTATAATTAGAAAACAACCTTAAAGAACTGTCTCATCAAGATTTATTTGGATGCTGCTCTGTAGACAGCAATATAAATTTCCAGGATAAACTGAAGGAGAAGAGGGCAGCTGGGGGAGAGCTTACTCAGTAAAATGAGTGAGGGCAGAGCCTGCAAGTGTGATTATGCAGGTGAGGTGGCAAACATGAGGTTGGTCAACATGAAAGGTTTTACTTGTGCATGCCACGGGCAAAATGTGCACATTAAAGAATCTCCCTGCTAAGGCTCAGTTGAAGAGTGATAACTTGCTTGGCTCCTGGGACCTGATGGTGCATGTGAGCCCCTTGTAATAAAAGCAGCAGCTCCTTGGGTGGGTCAGTAGTTGGTGGGAGTCAAATGGGTGCAGGTTTCCACAAGCTGGTTGTCACTTGCAAGCCTGGCTCCTTGGGTCAGGAAGTGTCCATCTCAGAGCAGGGATGCACTTGGGTCTGCTCTAAAGCACTTCTGCTGATCAGTGAGTCCTTACCACCATCAGAAGCATGTCCCAGCCCTGAGCACATTTGTTCATGAAGTTACAGAGTATAGTAGAGCAAGGAGTTCATCCAGTTGGGAGCTTTTTTATCTTTCACAGTGTTAGTTTTGAGTTGAATCAAATGATAGAGCCATAGAATGGTTTGGCTTGGAAGGGACCTTAAAGATTTTCAGCACTTGGTTGACAGCAGAGACACCAGCAGGGATGACCCACATGGGGCTGTCGTGGGCCTGCAGGAGCAAGGCCCTGGCATGGGCAAGGTTGGGGGTTTGTATTTGGGGCAGGGAGACTGATGCAGGATGACAGGAGACAGTGCCTGGCAGCAGAGGAGACAAGCAGTTGGCTCCCAGTGTTTGTAGCTGTCCCATGTGTGAGATGTGGTTGGGAGGGATGGGCCTTGAACACTGGGAATGTTCACCCTGCTGAGTGCCAGGTGTGATTCTCTGGTTAGAAACTCCTTGTTCTTCTGCGAGGTGTGAGAAAGGACCACACTGTGACAAGTATCAGACATGAAATTAGGATAGTCCTTGTTGCAGAGAGTTTACAGCCTAATCCCACTGAAGCTCCTTCCATAGGCAGGGATGTAGGCAAGTTCTTCCTGAAAGTATCACAGGAATTCTTTAATGGGAAAGGACATTCTTGAAGTGTTGGGATCATTTTTTAACCCCAAGCCCATCTGCTGTCAGCAAAAGACCTCTTTTATATATTCCAAGTTCTCCCAAATTCCCTTGAACAAGTTGGAGCAGGCAAGACAGGACATGTACTTTGTGAAAACCCTGGATTTTGCCAAGTGTGGAAATGGCAGACCTCCCACGCTGCCCCATCAGTTGTACTTCCTGTCCCCAATAAATCAGATAAGTTGGATGTCAAGGGAGCCATCTGGATGGGGAAATATTTATTCTTTTATTTGACACGGTTATTAGTTTGAACCTATATTTATTTGGAGCGTTTTTGCCTGGATGATCACATCTCTGCCTTAATGAATTAATAGGAATAATCTTATGAACTGCAAGTGGCACCATCAATTGTCCTTTGCAGGAAAGGGGAAAGTTGAGCAGTGTCTTTGGATGAATTCCCTTTCCTTCTGTAGATTAATTTTATTTTAGTACAAGTCTCAGTAAGTATGTGAGTAGGCGTCTGTCTCTCTTAGAAGTGGATGATAGGAACTCTCTATTGCAAGAGAGGTTTTTTGCTGGAAAATAATGTTTTTTTTGTATTCTTGTGATCCAGATGTTCAGAGACCATCTAAGAATCCTGAGGGAATAGAGAAGGATGCTAACCAGAGCATCAAACAGCCAGTTTCTGCTGCTATTATAGTTAAATAAGAACTGTTGCTTGACAATTACTCTTTTATTATTATTTTTTTTTGACCACTGGAAAAAATGTATGAAACTTTTTGCTTGAAAAGCAAAAGATAAATCACTTGAGAACTTTCCTTTTTGATAGAAAAGCAGGCGGGGGTGGACACATCCAGGAAAGCTATTACAGGAGGGGATTTTATTCATTTTATTCATAAAATTCACCTTATGCTGAGTTCCAGTGCCTGCCTTAAGACAGAATCGTTAAGTAGTGACAAGAAGCTGTTTCCAGTTCTGCTGTCAAGAGATTATTGCAGGTAGACAAAAGTCAGGAAGCACAGAATCAATGGCACAGAGATGGAATAAGCTACTCAGATGCTGAGGTTTGGAGCCTTAGAGATAACCCCATAGAAAATCCCACTCTGTAAGCTTATCTTGTGTATTCAGGGCCACAGAAATATCATGAAATCTATTTTTTTTTTTTCAATTAAAACAGCTCAAATTCGAGACAGTAATTTCTTCTGAAGGGCAGCTAATACACATTGAATAGATGGAGGATTATGTAGAGAAATTACCTGGCAAATATCACTCAAGGGTGAACAAATGGCAAGGGCTTCCTGCAGGAGCAAGTTGCTTGTGCTGAATTATATTGTGTAGCACTTAATGCGAAGGGAGCTTGTGCCAGGCTGAGCTTCAGAGGGAAATGACATGCCAAATAAATGTCACCACTCAAGAGGTGCTCATAGGAGAACTAAGAGCTGAGGAAAACAAGGAGCTGAAGTCTGATAAATAATTTTCTTCACAACTAAAGCATCTTGTATCTAGGAGGTAAGAAAACCTATCTCTTCTTTATTCAGGGATTCTGTTTGATGATGTGTTTCCAGGTCAGCAGAGATTGTTGTCAGGAGAAATGAAAAAGAGATTTCACTGTCTGCATACCCAGTTTCTGTGATGATCCCAGAGCCTTACAAACAAAATCCCCATCCAACTTACTATTCACATTGCAGTTGTGACTTCTGACCCTTTTATTTCAGCCTTTGTCTTTGCTAGGAGACATTGGGATGTGTATGTGTGGAATAGGAAACTCTGGACTGGAAGCCTGCAGGTGAAAGCCACTGGGTTTGATGGTATCATGCAGACTTTTGTGCCTGTATCACCTGTTTTCTAGAGCAGGGACGCAAGTCCCTTTCCATCCTACAGGTTTTAGCAAGGTATGGGAATTGTGTACGAGATACAATCTGTCCCTCAGGGCTCAGCCCACTCAGTCTGCAGAGGAGCCCAATTACGCTCCTTGCTTTAACGAGCTGGCACACCCTGTCACACCCTCCCCGCCCGATTTCTTCCTTTCCTGCTGGCCTCCTCTCCCCTGCTGTCAGCTGAACCTCATCAGTATTCCCGGCAGGAGCTCTCTTGGGTGTGGTTACAGAACCCTGAGCTGTGGGGAGGATGTGGGACAAACCCCACCCCTGTTAGACCCCGGGTCTGCTCTGCGGCACTCCCGGGACAGCTGGGCTGTCAAACCCGTGCCTCGTTCACAGACTGTTCTTCTTCATGGAAAGTAGAGATGCTCTTGGGACTGCTCTTAAATCCACCAAATTCTGCCAGGGAATTCGTTGGCAGAACTTCTCCCAGTGAAGCACTTTCTACCCTTCACCTCTGCCCAGAATTCCCCCGCAGATTTCCCCAGCGTTGTGGAGATGCCTGCAAAGGTGCACTGCATTCACTCAGAGATGTTTGTCAGAGACACTCAGCAGCAGAGTCCTCCACGAGGCTGCACTTTACAGCCAGTATTCTGGGGGAATATCATCAGAATTGGTCAGTACCAGCACAGTGTTTGGGTCTAGCTTGGAGCCAGAGCCGTGTGGCACAGCACTGTGCAGGAGCAGATACTCTGCTCTCATTCCTGGCTCCAGTGCTCCTGGGAGAAGGAAGGCCCAGGATAGGCTCTCTCTCTTAGCTGCATCCCATTCAGTCTTACTGTGATGGGTAGCTAGGATTTGAACAGGTCCAGAACTGGCTGGAAAAATCAGTATAGGCCCCTGAGGAGACTTCTCTGATGCCTTAGAAGGTATCTCACCTGGAGGTGAGAAAAGTATGAAAATATGCTGTACTTTATAGGAATTTGCCTCCTAGTTGGAGGCACCTGTATTCATCTCTTTTCCCAGTAATGTGGAAAAATTAATAGGTTCCCATGCTAATTACAGGGAGTTGGGATGATGGCTCAGCTGCACAGGCCACTCCATTCATTTGGATAAGTCATGGATATTTATGCAAGTCATAATCCACCCCCAGGGTTCAGCCTATTCTGCACACAGACAAGCACACAGCAGACTTCAGGCTCTCCTTCACCACTTGCCTGTGGTGGAGCAGCCCCACTCCTTGTGTTCCTTGACACTGCTTCATTTTCCTCCCCTTCTTTTCTGTCAGGCTTCCCCCCCTTTTCTGCACATGAATTTTTTGTCTGTGTCCATCTGCAGTGATTAGGAAAATGCCTCACCGTGCCTCTGCCTTTGGTGTGAATGTTTTTTTTAATTCTGTTGTGCTAGGGAGCAGGCTGCCCTACAACCCTCTGTTTCATTAAGCCAGACCTGAAGGGGGTATGGATTATATTAATTAACCCCATATTTGCTGGAATAGACACTGATCTCCTTGCATGCAGAAGCAGTGTCCAGCCATACAGTTCCTCATCTTCCCCTTGGCTTGGAGATCAACTGCTTAGAGAGCACTGTGATGTTTGTAATGCCTCCCTTGTCATAAATCTCCACACTTCCCTTTCTTTCCACAGACTCTTCTGCCTTCTGGGGTGTGACTGAAGGATGTTCAGGGTTGGAGCTGGGAACTCCTGACTTACCACTGTGATTTTTCCTTCCTCATTGAAGCGGGGCCTTGGGGCAGTCACTTAATTCTAATTGACTTCCTGAAACACCTCAATCCAGGTGCTGGGATCTAAAAGGGCAGAGGTATTTTTCCAAAGGTGCTGAGC